GGGACTATGATACTCACGGATTTAAAGTGCTAACTAGCCAGTGGGGGGGGGCATGGTTGCCGCATGGCCTCTGGACGGAGCATGTGCATGTCATGTACGCTTGGCTGGTTTCGTCCGGTCCCTTGCAGCAGCCCCTGTTCACATCTGCCCCCGCGGGTCGCCGTCATACCCAGTTGTGCGGCCTGAACTGCTGGCCTCGGCTGGACTGGGCTTTTCTTTTCCCCATGTGACTGTCCCCCCTCACATTGGATTTTCTTCTTTTCCCCATCCCAGCGCCAAGAGGAGGTGCGGCGGGGCTTCTCCTCGGGCCGCCTCAACCTGCTGCTCTCCACCGCTGTGGGCGCGGAGGGGCTGGACTTCAGGTGGGTGCCCCGCCTGCTGCGCTGCCTGCTGCCCTGCCTGCTGCCCTGCCTGCTGCCCTGCCTGCTGCCCCGCCTGCTGCCCTGCCTGCTGCCCTGCCCGCCGCCCTGCCTGCGGCCCTGCCTGCGGCCCCGCCTGCGGCCCTGCCTGCTGCCCTGCCTGCTGCCCTGCCTGCTGCCCTGCCTGCGGCCCTGCCTGCTGCCCTGCCTGCTGCCCTGCCTGCTGCCCTGCCTGCTGCCCTGCCTGCTGCCCTGCCTGCTGCCCTGCCGGCTGCCCTGCCTGCTGCCCTGCCGGCTGCCCTGCCGGCTGCCCCGCCGGCTGCCCTGCCGGCTGCCCCGCCGGCTGCCCCGCCTGCCGCCCTGCCTGCTGCCCGGCCTGCCGCCCTGCCTGCTGCCCTGCCTGCTGCCCCGCCTGCTGCCCTGCCTGCTGCCCCGCCTGCTGCCCTGCCTGCTGCCCTGCCTGCTGCCCTGCCTGCCGCCCTGCCTGCTGCCCTGCCTGCCGCCCTGCCTGCTGCCCGGCCTGCCGCCCTGCCTGCTGCCCTGCCTGCTGCCCTGCCTGCTGCCCTGCCTGCCGCCCTGCCTGCTGCCCGGCCTGCTGCCCTGCCTGCTGCCCTGCCTGCTGCCCTGCCTGCTGCCCTGCCTGCCGCCCTGCCTGCTGCCCGGCCTGCCGCCCTGCCTGCTGCCCTGCCTGCTGCCCTGCCTGCTGCCCTGCCTGCCGCCCTGCCTGCTGCCCTGCCTGCTGCCCTGCCTGCCGCCCTGCCTGCTGCCCTGCCTGCTGCCCTGCCTGCTGCCCTGCCTGCTGCCCTGCCTGCTGCCCTGCCTGCCGCCCTGCCTGCTGCCCTGCCTGCTGCCCTGCCTGCTGCCCTGCCTGCCGCCCTGCCTGCTGCCCTGCCTGCTGCCCTGCCTGCTGCCCTGCCTGCTGCCCTGCCTGCTGCCCTGCCTGCTGCCCTGCCTGCCGCCCTGCCTGCTGCCCGGCCTGCCGCCCTGCCTGCTGCCCTGCCGGCTGCCCTGCCTGCTGCCCTGCCTGCTGCCCTGCCTGCTGCCCCGCCTGCTGCCCTGCCTGCTGCCCTGCCGGCTGCCCTGCCTGCTGCCCTGCCTGCTGCCCCGCCTGCTGCCCTGCCTGCTGCCCCGCCTGCTGCCCTGCCTGCTGCCCTGCCTGCTGCCCCGCCTGCTGCCGCCTGCTGCCCTGCCTGCTGCCCTGCCTGCTGCCCTGCCTGCTGCCCTGCCTGCTGCCCTGCCTGCCGCCCTGCCTGCTGCCCTGCCTGCTGCCCTGCCTGCTGCCCTGCCCGCCGCCCTGCCTGCGGCCCTGCCTGCGGCCCCGCCTGCGGCCCTGCCTGCTGCCCTGCCTGCTGCCCTGCCTGCTGCCCTGCCTGCGGCCCTGCCTGCTGCCCTGCCTGCTGCCCTGCCTGCTGCCCTGCCTGCTGCCCTGCCTGCTGCCCTGCCTGCTGCCCTGCCGGCTGCCCTGCCTGCTGCCCTGCCGGCTGCCCTGCCGGCTGCCCCGCCGGCTGCCCTGCCGGCTGCCCCGCCGGCTGCCCCGCCTGCCGCCCTGCCTGCTGCCCGGCCTGCCGCCCTGCCTGCTGCCCTGCCTGCTGCCCCGCCTGCTGCCCTGCCTGCTGCCCCGCCTGCTGCCCTGCCTGCTGCCCTGCCTGCTGCCCTGCCTGCCGCCCTGCCTGCTGCCCTGCCTGCCGCCCTGCCTGCTGCCCGGCCTGCCGCCCTGCCTGCTGCCCTGCCTGCTGCCCTGCCTGCTGCCCTGCCTGCCGCCCTGCCTGCTGCCCGGCCTGCTGCCCTGCCTGCTGCCCTGCCTGCTGCCCTGCCTGCTGCCCTGCCTGCCGCCCTGCCTGCTGCCCGGCCTGCCGCCCTGCCTGCTGCCCTGCCTGCTGCCCTGCCTGCTGCCCTGCCTGCCGCCCTGCCTGCTGCCCTGCCTGCTGCCCTGCCTGCCGCCCTGCCTGCTGCCCTGCCTGCTGCCCTGCCTGCTGCCCTGCCTGCTGCCCTGCCTGCTGCCCTGCCTGCTGCCCTGCCTGCTGCCCTGCCTGCTGCCCTGCCTGCTGCCCTGCCTGCTGCCCTGCCTGCTGCCCTGCCTGCTGCCCTGCCTGCTGCCCTGCCTGCTGCCCTGCCTGCTGCCCTGCCTGCTGCCCTGCCTGCCGCCCTGCCTGCTGCCCGGCCTGCCGCCCTGCCTGCTGCCCTGCCGGCTGCCCTGCCTGCTGCCCTGCCTGCTGCCCTGCCTGCTGCTCCGCCTGCTGCCCTGCCTGCTGCCCTGCCGGCTGCCCTGCCTGCTGCCCTGCCTGCTGCCCCGCCTGCTGCCCTGCCTGCTGCCCCGCCTGCTGCCCTGCCTGCTGCCCTGCCTGCTGCCCCGCCTGCTGCCGCCTGCTGCCCTGCCTGCTGCCCTGCCTGCTGCCCTGCCTGCTGCCCTGCCTGCTGCCCTGCCTGCCGCCCTGCCTGCTGCCCTGCCTGCTGCCCTGCCTGCTGCCCTGCCTGCTGCCCTGCCTGCTGCCCCGCCTGCTGCCCTGCCTGCTGCCCTGCCGGCTGCCCTGCCTGCTGCCCTGCCTGCTGCCCCGCCTGCTGCCCTGCCTGCTGCCCTGCCGGCTGCCCTGCCTGCTGCCCTGCCTGCTGCCCGGCCTGCCGCCCTGCCTGCTGCCCTGCCGGCTGCCCTGCCTGCTGCCCTGCCTGCTGCCCTGCCTGCTGCTCCGCCTGCTGCCCTGCCTGCTGCCCTGCCGGCTGCCCTGCCTGCTGCCCTGCCTGCTGCCCCGCCTGCTGCCGCCTGCTGCCCTGCCTGCTGCCCTGCCTGCTGCCCTGCCTGCTGCCCTGCCTGCTGCCCTGCCTGCCGCCCTGCCTGCTGCCCGGCCTGCCGCCCTGCCTGCTGCCCTGCCGGCTGCCCTGCCTGCTGCCCTGCCTGCTGCCCCGCCTGCTGCCCTGCCTGCTGCCCTGCCGGCTGCCCTGCCTGCTGCCCTGCCTGCTGCCCTGCCTGCCGCCCTGCCTGCTGCCCGGCCTGCCGCCCTGCCTGCTGCCCTGCCGGCTGCCCTGCCTGCTGCCCTGCCTGCTGCCCCGCCTGCTGCCCTGCCTGCTGCCCTGCCGGCTGCCCTGCCTGCTGCCCTGCCTGCTGCCCCGCCTGCTGCCCTGCCTGCTGCCCTGCCGGCTGCCCTGCCTGCTGCCCTGCCTGCTGCCCGGCCTGCTGCCCTGCCTGCTGCCCTGCCTGCTGCCCCGCCTGCTGCCCTGCCTGCTGCCCTGCCGGCTGCCCTGCCTGCTGCCCTGCCTGCTGCCCCGCCTGCTGCCCTGCCTGCTGCCCTGCCGGCTGCCCTGCCTGCTGCCCTGCCTGCTGCCCGGCCTGCTGCCCTGCCTGCTGCCCTGCCTGCTGCCCGGCCTGCTGCCCTGCCTGCTGCCCCGCCTGCTGCCCTGCCTGCTGCGCTGCCTGCTGCCCTGCCTGCTGCCCCGCCTGCTGCCCTGCCTGCTGCGCTGCCTGCTGCCCTGCCTGCTGCCCCGCCTGCTGCCCTGCCTGCTGCCCCGCCTGCTGCCCTGCCTGCTGCCCTGCCGGCTGCCCTGCCTGCTGCCCTGCCTGCTGCCCCGCCTGCTGCCCTGCCTGCTGCCCTGCCGGCTGCCCTGCCTGCTGCCCTGCCTGCTGCCCGGCCTGCTGCCCTGCCTGCTGCCCTGCCTGCTGCCCGGCCTGCTGCCCTGCCTGCTGCCCCGCCTGCTGCCCTGCCTGCTGCGCTGCCTGCTGCCCTGCCGGCTGCCCTGCCTGCCGCCCTGCCTGCTGCCCTGCCTGCTGCCCTGCCGGCTGCCCTGCCTGCTGCCCTGCCTGCTGCCCTGCCTGCTGCCCTGCCTGCTGCCCTGCCTGCTGCCCTGCGCTGCTAGTTTGGTGGCTGCCCTGACCGGTGCGTGTGGCAGTGCGGGTGTTGGAGCGTGTGTGTGACGTACACCCCTCCAGCTGTGCTGCTCTATCTAATGCGGCCCGCCCAAGGGGCGGCTTCTAGGCTGCTCTGGAGATGAGCTTCTTACCCTTCCTTTCGTACCCTTCCAGTTTTATGCTTCCCTCTACTGTTGCTGGACTTTGTGCTATCTTGCTTGGGCATCCTTTGCGCATCCTAAACAACCAGCTGAACAACGTCACCCTTCCCTTGCCTATGCACATGGGGCTATAACCGGGAGAGAATGCAAGGCGTTTCCTGCAACCCACCCCATATGCCATGTGCAACCCATCCCCCTAACTGTTGCCCCCAGCCACTGCTCGCTAGTGGCGGCACTAGACCTGCCCAAACACGTCACACCCTTCCTGCAGTCGGGCGGACGAGCCAGAGCGCCGGGTGAGAGGGCGGATGGAGGGTCTAAGAACATACCATAGGAGACCACAGGTTAGGGCAAAGCAATGGGGGGGCCGGGGGAGGTGCCGTATACCCGATCAGATGGTGTACGGATCTGGTGATACGCAGCTTTCAGTCGGGGAAGAGTGAGTAGCTTGCGATACACGTGGGGGCAGTTCTGCAGCGGGTTGCGCAGGGGGCTCCTGGCGATGACGCACATAGGGTGCACCCCCACATACACGTATGGCCCGCGTGTCACACTGCCCTGCCTGCCCGCCGGCCCGCCCGCCCCGCGCGTTTGCTGCTCCGTGCATGCCTGCAGATGCGGAGTATTGGCTGCTGGTGCGGAACCCGAATGAGGAGACGGCGGCCCGGAAGCTGCTCACGTGAGTACACCCTCCTGGCGGCTGCATGTCTTACAGTATCTTGCAAGTATCCTGCACTGCAGACCATGTACTGCAGACCATGTACTGCAGACCATGTACTGCAGAGGGCATGGTCTTGATGGGCGCTTCTGTGTGAGCTAAAGGCATAGCCCCAATTTCCCCTAATGCGGATATAGCTGGTTTCGTTGCTTCTCTGGAGATTGCGCCGCTCCTAACGTTCCGGAACCGTCTGTACGTGTACCTCTCGGCCCGCCTCCTGTCCTCAACTCCTCCTCATCATGCCTCTGTCTCCGCCCCCAGGGAGGAGGAGTGCCTGCTGCAAAGTGCCTGCAGCATCGCGAGGGGCAACGCAGGGAGCCGGACGACGCCTGAAGCGGGAGTCGTCGCGCCTAATCACAGCGCCCCGCAGGGTAGATATGCTGGGTCGTGTGCCTAGCGACCCATGGGTCACAGATCACCAACTGACCGTGGGACCCATGGGTCACCAGCACCTCTGCATGACCCATATCGATCCACGTTTCGTTTGGATCATTGTCATGCGGCGGCAGTGCAGGCTGAGCGCTATATCCTGCTTGTGCGTTTTCTCTCGCCTTCACCTGCTGAACAAGGCTGTGTATGTATGTGGAGAGGGTGATGCATGCCTTCCGACGCCAGTAGCTTACTAGAGAACACTGGTATGTTTCCCGGTGCCATGCCAGACCTGGTTGCGTCACAACCCTTCAAGTCGCACCTGAAGGACGGACCACATACACTGCCAAACCCCTCAAACCCAGGCCTGGCGCACTACCTGGCCACTGCTGCTGTCAACGCCAAGCCTGACTTGCCAGCCATGGAGGTGCCGTCCACAGGTGAGGCTCGTTGCATGCAAGCAGGAGGATTCTCGTACAAGTGCCCGTGCTCGCACACGCTGCCGTGCATGCTTGCCGCATTCACCGGGAGCAATAGGAGGGGGCCCATGGGGATGTGGAATTTATATCGTGATAACGTTTACCTAGGAGGAATAGCGCGCCCCCAGTGCAACTACCGGTGCTACCGGTACTCTCCCCAGCCCCTTGGCTGCTGAACACAGTGCGCTACTCGGGGGGTCAAAGACCATACCATACCATAGGAAACCACAGGTTGGGGCAGGGGCAATGGGGATAGGAGCAGCGGGGTGTCACACAAGAAGTGTTGTGCGGGATCCAGGCAGGAGCCCCCGTGCTGCTGAGCTCCTGCCGTCCTACCTGCAGGCAGGGCGCTGGAATGACATGCAGCAGCTGCCGCTGCGTCATGTGTGTGCTAGTCCAGCACCGCCGTGTACAACAGCAGCAGCAGCAGCGGCAGCGGTTTGTGTGTGTGTTTGCAGCCAGCCCAGTAACGGCTCTCCCTCCCTGACCCCTGCCCCCTTGACCCCCTGCTGCTCCCCCCACCTCCGGCCAGGTGCCCGCCTGCCCGCCGTGTGGGCGGTGGACCTGCTGTTGCAGCTCTGCTTCCAACTGCCCGGGAACGACGGGTGCGCTTGCCCTGCTTCCACTGCCCCATGCAGCTTGTAGTGCTAGTTGGCTGCTACTGCTGCTACCTGCCTCGGAGGAATGCCCGTTTTGCGGCTCTTGGTGCCTACCCCCTCCCTCTCTCCTTCCCTCCCACATACAGTGCTTCCCCTCCGGTTAGAGGTGGCTGCAGCAGCTCCGATGTAGTTGCTGTGAAACATGGGATAGATCAGCCCCGCATGCTCCCTCCTTGCTGCCCACCTACCCCCTCCCTCCCTGCCTCCCTCCTTTCCTCCCTCCCTCCTTTCCTCCCTCCGTTCCACCGCCCCGCAGCTGCGCGCTGCTGCACCCGCTGTTCCGCTGGCACAGCAGCGGCCCCCCCCACTCGCGACACTTCACCTACCGCGGCTTCCTGCCCTCCAACCTGGGGCTGCCCCCCGTGGACGGCCCCACGTGCAGCAGCAAGGAGGTGGCGAAGAAGGTGGGGCCGGATGCCGTACAGGGGGGTGGGGGGTGGGGGCGGGGGCGGTGCATGCATGATACACGTGGATAGCATCCACGCCAATGGACGGTGAATGGCATTGATTGGCTGCAATAGAGGCCGTGATCCTGTCCGCCTCCCCCCTTCACCACACACGCGCCGACACACCCTCCTCCCGGCGGCAGCTGGCGTGTTTGGAGGCGGTGCGGCTGCTATGGCAGCGAGGGGACGTGGACGACCACCTGCGGCTGCGGTTCAGTCGCAAGGAAGTGACCCGGGCGGCACACAAGGCGGTGTTTGGCGGATGTAAGCAGCGCTGGTGGCTCACGCCGCGGGTTGGGGATGAGGAGGGCTCTCCGCGCTTGGACAGGGTGGCCGTGGTAGTGGGCCTGTCGTGTTGGGGTATCGCGCAGTTTGGCACTTCTTCTTCAAACTAAGAAGACGAGATGCCTTCTTAATGTTCAATCGCTCCTTCCCCTGCCTCTTCCCTCGTTTACTCCCCATGTCTCCTGCCTCCGCAGTCAAGCACGCCATTCCAAGTGCGACGCTAACCCATCGCCTTCCAAAGCTGCTGCGGCCCCCACACGCCTCGGGTGCTGCTGCTGCCCCTGCTGTCGCCCCCAACCACACCCCTGCCGACGAGGCCGCTGCGGGAGCCGACGGGGCCCCCCGGGGCATCCCCGCTGCCTTACCGCCGCCACCTCATCATGGTCCTGCCGTACCGCCGCCAGCTCGGTCTGCCGTACATCAATACCACCTGTACGGCTTTGTCTTCCAACCCAGTGACCCCCGCCTTGCCGCCAATTGGACATCCCAGGCGTCAGCAGCAGCAGCAGCAGCAGCAGCTCCACCCTCATCCAACGGCGGAAGCGACGGGGGTGTTACAGGCGCCTCCAGGCGCTTACGTTCCTCCGGTCTGCAGGATGGCATGTTACCTTGGCCGCTGGCTAGCTCTACTGCTCCAGCTAATACGGCTGCGGCTGCAGGTGCTAGGGTTGCTGGCAGGTGCAGTACGGCGGGAGGTGCCGGCAGGGGAGCCGTCTCGCTGCAGCACCCGCTTCGGGGCGAAGTAAACCGTCTTACGTGCGGAGACATGCATGCGGCGACAGCGGGGGCAGCGGCGACAGCAGGGGCAGCAGGGGCAGCAGCAGCGGCGGCCGCTGCAGTGCACTGCTGGGGTGTGTTGCTGCTTGGGGAGCTGCCGGCCGCATTGCCGCCCTTCGAGGTGCTGCTGCCGGGTGGGACTTCAGGTGCGGTGGAGGGAAGGAGAGGAGGGGAGGAGAAGGGGGGGAGGGGAAGGGGGTGCGCAGATGGCCGCATGGAGGTGTGCGGCTTCTGGGGCTTCACGTGCATGCAAGGTCCTCAACACGCGTGTAACACATGATACCGGTAGCATCTCGTTCCCACATTGCCCTCATCTGAGTGGGTTTGGAGCAATGGAGGGAAGAGCAATGCCTTACTCTCCGCACATGTCGCCCGGATTTCCTTCACACCTCTCCCCTTCCTCCCCTTCCTCCCCTTCCTCCCCTTCCTCCCCTTCCTCCCCTTCCTCCCCTTCCTCCCCTTCCTCCCCTTCCTCCCTTCCTCCCCTTCCTCCCCTTCCTCCCCTTCCTCCCCTTCCTCCCCTTCCTCCCCTTCCTCCCCTTCCTCCCCTTCCTCCCCTTCCTCCCCTTCCTCCCCTTCCTCCCCTTCCTCCCCTTCCTCCCCTTCCTCCCCTTCCTCCCCTTCCTCCCCTTCCTCCCCTTCCTCCCCTTCCTCCCCTTCCTCCCCTTCCTCCCCTTCCTCCCCTTCCTCCCCTTCCTCCCCTTCCTCCCCTTCCTCCCCTTCCTCCCCTTCCTCCCCTTCCTCCCCTTCCTCCCCTTCCTCCCCTTCCTCCCCTTCCTCCCCTTCCTCCCCTTCCTCCCCTTCCTCCCCTTCCTCCCCTTCCTCCCCTTCCTCCCCTTCCTCCCCTTCCTCCCCTTCCTCCCCTTCCTCCCCTTCCTCCCCTTCCTCCCCTTCCTCCCCTTCCTCCCCTTCCTCCCCTTCCTCCCCTTCCTCCCCTTCCTCCCTTCCTCCCCTTCCTCCCCTTCCTCCCCTTCCTCCCCTTCCTCCCCTTCCTCCCCTTCCTCCCCTTCCTCCCCTTCCTCCCCTTCCGCCCCTTCCTCCCCTTCCGCCCCTTCCTCCCCTTCCTCCCCTTCCGCCCCTTCCGCCCCTTCCGCCCCTTCCTCCCCTTCCGCCCCTTCCGCCCCTTCCGCCCCTTCCTCCCCTTCCGCCCCTTCCGCCCCTTCCGCCCCTTCCGCCCCTTCCGCCCCGCCGCTGCTGCTGCTGCTGCTGCTCCTCTCCCACCCCGCCGCCGCTGCTGCCGCCCCGCACCCCGCACACCCCGCCCCCCGCAGGTGAGCTGCTGGTGCAGGTGCGCCCCGCCTACCTGGGTCCGCTGCCCGCCGGTGCCCCCCTGGACCTGCTGCTGGCCCGCCTGCACCGCCTGCTGTGGGGCCTCATGGAGTGGCCCTGCCCGGCTGCCGTGTTCAGAGCAGCAGCAGCTGCTGCTGTCGCCGCCGCGAGTGCCAAACCTGATGGCACAGCAGCAGGAGCAGCAACAGCAGGAGCAGCAGCAGGAGCAGGAGCGGCAACAACAGCAGCAGGAGCAGGGGCAGCAGCACCACCGCCGGCAGCAGGAGCAGCACCTGCAGGAGGAAAAGCAGCGACAGGCGCAGCAGCCGCAACAGCAGCAGCTTCCGGCCGGGTTCACGGTCCCACCCCGGCTGACTGGCAGGAGTGGGTGCGGCGAGTGGGGCTCCAGGGGCTCGCTGACTCGCTGCGAGGGCTGCTGCAAGCGGGGGCGGGGGCAGCGGAGACGGCAGCGGGGGAGGAGGGCGGCAGCGGCGGCGGCGGTGACGTCATCACGGAGGGAGTCATGCGGATGGAGCTCAGTGAGGATGATGACTGCGCACCCGCTCCAGGTTGCGGTGGTGCGGGTGCTGGTGGCTGGAATCGTGCTGCCGCCGCCGCCGGCGACCATGGCGCCGGTGTCAGTAATGGCGGCTGCGCCAGTCGCGGGGCCGCGGAGGAGGGCGAAGCGACCTGGTGGAGCGGTCCCAAGGGAACCTGGTGGATGCCCGTGCCGCTGCGACCTCCATCGCTGACGCTGCCACTGGCACCGGCGCCGGCGGCACCGCAAGAAGCTAGTCCGCCGCTGGCAGACGTGCAGATCCGGGTCGACGACTGCAGCAGAAGTAGCAGTATCAGCTGGGATGCAGAGACGGACCTTCGTGGGGGGGTCTGTGACGGCGGAGGCGGAGGCAGCAGCGAGCGGCGGCGGCGGGCAGAGCAGCTGACGGAGGCGGCTGTACGGCAGGCTGACGGCGCCGCCGCCGCCGGGTTCATCGACTGGGCTGTGGTTGATGACTTGGCTACGGAGCCGCAGCCTCTAGGCGGGCCCGAGGCATGTGCAGCGACAGCAATGACAACAGCGGCGGCGGCGGACGCAGCGGCAGCAGTGGAGGCGGGGACAATGGTGGAGGCGGGGACAGGGGCAGCGGCTGCAGCGGAGCCGCGGGCAGCCGTGCATCCCGCCCTGGCTGCCCGCGTGTGTCGTCACCGGCTGCTCCTCTCCCTCAAGAGTTGCCGCATGTACAGCCTCCCCCCTACGTCGGCGTCGGCAACAGCAGCACCATCCACGACATCCAGCGGAGAATCCCAACAGCCTTCAACTGCTACTGCCAGCCACGGTGCTGCTGCTGCCAAGGAGGAGGAGGAGGAAATAGTGCTCCATGAGTTGGCATCGTACGGCAAGGGCCATCAGGACTGGTTTCGTAGCCGCCAGCAGCCGTGCAGTACGACAACAACAACGACTGCTGCTGCCGTACCGCGCACCAGCACCGGCAGTGGTGGTGGTGGCGGTTTCAGCGGCTGCAAGCGCCCCAGGAGTGAGGACCCTCCTGCCGGTGGCACGGTGGCCGCCGAAAAGACCGATGCAACCCGACACCCGAGCGGCTGCTGTCGAGACGCCGTTGATGATGGTGATGCTGTTGATGATGATGGTGCCGCGCTGCATGCAGTCAGCTCTCCGAGAAAGCGACTCCATGCTGCCCCCGCAGCCGCCACTGCCCCCGCCGCGACCTCCCCAGCCAATGACGTCAAGGCAGCTCCCAGTGGCTCCACCGCCACCGCCACTGGCGGCCCCGTCCTCAGCGCCGTCGCTCGTCGTAACGCCTACCGCGAGGTGATCCCGCTGCTGCCGGAGAACCTGGGTCGGCTGGCGTTCTTCCCTCTGGACCTGCCTCGCTGGCGGCTGCTGCACGGGTTGCCGGCGCTGCTGTGGCGGGTGGAGGGGCTGGCGGCGGCGGAGGAGCTGCTGAGGGAGAGGCTGAAGCCAGCCGGGTGGGTGGGGGGTGGGTGGGCGGGTGGGCGGGTGAGGAAAGGGGGGATTGGACTTGGGTGAGGTGGGCGAGGAGGTGGGGCTTGGGGGAGGTAGGTGGAGAGGGAACGTGACATGCCATTAGTGCGATAGTGGCAACCTGTGTATAGCGGATATCTGGTGTGTGCCCTGAAGGGCTGTGGAAGGCGCGCTGTGAGGAAGGGAAGGGAAGTGTGCTCCTTGTTCCTTGTTCTTCTTCCTTCTCAAATGTACCGTACTGCAGCAACCGGTATATTCTGCTCCGTTACATGTGCAGGTTCGCGCCCTATCTGCCGCAGCTGTCGCCGTCACAGCACCAGCAGCAAGAACAGGTGGGCCAGGGGGGTGGGCAGAGCCAGTGGGAGGAGGAGCACGAGGAGGGCAGCTGCACCCCACCAGCACCACCACCATCGTCACCACCAGCAGCAGCAGCAGCGGAGCAAGCGGAGCTGCTGCTCGCTGCAACCGCCACCTGCATCCCCGCGGCCCGCGACCCGTGGTTCAACAACGACCGACTGGAGTTCCTGGGCGATGCGGTTCTCAAGATGGCGGCGCAGCTGTACGTCTTCCTTCGGGAGAGGTGCGACCAGGGGGGTGGGGGGGAGTTGGGGGTGTCCGGGTACTGTCCGGGTACTGCCGTGTGTTGCTGCAGGGGGGCAGCTACATGTACCGGTAAGCCTAGCCTCAGGTGCAAATACAGCGGCAAACCTCAAGTCACTCTGTCCATTCGTAGCCTCCCCCCAGCCTCCCCTTGTAACCATCCTGCAGAGGGCTTCCTACCTTCTTCCACCCGTCCTCCACCCCGCATCAAGCACCTCAATGTGACCCTCGCAACCGCTCTGTCGCACCTCCGCTCCCTCCCCCTCTCAGGCGCACCCCCACCAGCCACGAGGGGGTCCTCTCCTTCATGCGGGACGGCCTGGTAGCCAACGAGGTGCTCGCAGCCCTCGCACTGCAGCCCCGACTGGACATAGCTCCGGCGCTGAGAGGTCTGCCGTTCGATCCGCGGCGAGCGCGGCGACAGGCGCTGCTGGCTCCCGACGAGGCGGACGACGGCACACCGCTGCGGTCGCTGCCGCCGCCTGGGACGACGACCCATGGGTCGGGCAAGGCGGTGGAAGGCAGGGAAGGGAAGGCGGCTGCGGCTGCAGATGTGGAGGCAGGGGGATGTGAGGGGGGTGCGGCAGATGCGGGGCAGGAGGAGAAGAAGAAGAAGGAGGAGACGGGAGGGCAGAAGAAGAAGAAGAAGGCGGCAGCGGCTGGTCAGAGGAAGGCGCCGGTTGGGCTGCTGAAGATGCATCGACCCATGGTGACTCGGGTGCTCCAGGTGAGTGGGTGGGTGAGTGAGGGAGTGGGTGAGTGGGTGGGGAGCACCGTCGCACTGCTGCCTAGTCCCTACACTTGTCCACTAGCGGGTGCCTCACACCCCTCACCCACCACAAACACGACCGGGTTGCCTTTCCTCCCCCCTCCTGCGGCCCCCGGTCTTGCTGCCCACCCGGCCATTGCTGTCTGCCACCGCTCCTGCGGGTCCCCCTGCTGGCGCACTGCCTGCACCGCCGGCTCCCCCCCCCCACTGCCTTGCCGCCTTCCCACCCCCGCCCGCTGCCCCCTGGCCCCGCCCCCCCTGCCCCCAGGGCGTCAACGGCAAGCGGCTGGCGGACTGCGTGGAGGCGCTCATCGGGGCGCACCTGGCGCCCGCACTGGGGCTGGGGGAGCGGGGGGGGCAGCAGGGGGGAGGAGGGCATCAACTGGGGGGTCTGGAGCAGGGGGGGCAGCAGGGGGGGCTGGAGGAGGGGGAGTGGTTGGGACTGCAGCAGTGGGAGCAGCCGCAGCAGGGGGAGCGGCAGCAGGCTGTGGGGGTTCCCGCCTGCGGGTTTTGCTGCACAGCCGATGTGCAGGTGCGTGTGTGTGTGTGGGGGGGGGGGGATGCACGATGTGGTGGGGAGGGGTGGTAGCAATGAAGAAGCGGCGCTTGTGTGACGGAGCGCGCGTGAGGTAGGGGCCACCATGAACATCATGAACGCAGTTCTGACACCCTCCATACCCCGCTGTCCTCCCAACCCTCCCACCCTGCCGTCCTCCCGCCCCCCGCTGCCCCGCCCTGCTGCAGGCCGCCGTAGCCTCCGCGGTTCGCTTCTGTGTGTCCTGCGGGGTGCTGCCGGAGGACTGCGGCACCGTGCTGCTGCCGGAGCTGGCGGCGGGGGGGGAGCAGCACGGGGGGGAGCAGCAGCAGCAGCAGCAGCGGTGGTTGGGGCAGGATGGTGAAGCCATGTACGGAAGCAGAGGCGGAGGTGGCGGAGGTGCGGTGGCGGGCGCGGTGGCTGCGGTGGAGGAGCTGCTGGGGTACCGCTTCAGGCGGCCGGAGCTGTGCATGCAGGTGCGCGGGAGGAGGTGTGGGGTGGTGGGGTGAGGGGGGGGATGGTGTGGGGAGAAGAGGAGAAAAGAGAAGAGCCGTCTGGGAAGGATTTGGGGCCAGCATGGAGGGGCTGAAGACGACGAGCGGTTGGGTCGGCCCAGGTCTCCCACCTGCCCCACCTGCCACCTGCTCCCACCTGCTCCCACCTGCCACACCTGCCGGGGTTGTTGCCGGGGCCCATGCAGGCGCTGACGCACGTGAGCCACCCTCGCGCCGCCAGCTGCGGGGGCGGCTACCAGCTGCTCGAGTTCCTGGGTGATGCGGTGCTGGGGCTGGTGGCCTCGCTGTGGGCATTCAGGTGGGGGGGGGTGGGGGGGGGGGTGATGGGCTTACTGGTAGGGCCTGTCCGGCTGGTGGCACCCTCGTCCTTTCTCTCTTTTGTGCTCCTCCAGGCCCCCACCTTTTCTTCGCGGAGTCCCTCCGGCCTTATCGGCCACCTCCCACGGCCATGACCGTAGTTGCTTTCAAGGCATCATCCCCCACGCCTGGCACCCTCCACTCCCCTCCTTCACTCCCCGCTGCTGCCAACCCATGCCACCCCACCCCTACCCCCCCAGGGAGGGCGGTAGCGCGGAGTCCATGACCTGCCACCGCAGCCTGCTGGTCAGCAACGGCCCGCTGGCAGCTGCTGCGGTGCGTGCAGGGCTGCACAGCCGGCTGCGGGCGGGGGCGGGCAGCCTGACAGCGGCGGTGCAGCGGTTCGCAGCGGCGTACCAGGTGGGGATGGGGGAGGCGGGGGAGGTGGGGGAGGTGGGGGAGGCGGGGGAGGTGGGGGAGGCGGGGGAGGTGGGGGAGGTGGGGGAGGTGGGGGAGGTGGGGGAGGTGGGGGAGGTGGGGGAGGTGGGGGAGGTGGGGGAGGTGGGGGAGGTGGGGGAGGTGGGGGAGGTGGGGGAGGTGGGGGAGGTGGGGGAGGTGGGGGAGGTGGGGGAGGTGGGGGAGGTGGGGGAGGTGGGGGAGGTGGGGGAGGTGGGGGAGGCGGGGGAGGCGGGGGAGGCGGGGGAGGCGGGGGAGGCGGGGGAGGCGGGGGAGGTGGGGGAGGCGGGGGAGGCGGGGGAGGCGGGGGAGGCGGGGGAGGCGGGGGAGGCGGGGGAGGCGGGGGAGGCGGGGGAGGCGGGGGTTGAAACGCAGCTGGCTGTAAGCTTGTACTGCCAGTTGGGCGGTGGGGGGATTGATTGGGAGACCCCCCGCCTCCCCTCAACACACACAGGCTGCCCGGGCCGCCTGCGGTCCCGGCCAGGAGGTGGAGGTAACCACCGCTGAGGGCCTGCGCAAGAGCAGGCGTGCGGAGAAGCAAAAGCAGCAGCGACGCCAACAGCAGCAGCAGCAGAGCAAGAAGAAGGACAAGAGCGACAAAGACGCGCCGCAGGAACCACAGCAGCAGCAGGAACAGCAGCAGCAGCAGGGGGCGCAGGACGGAATGGCGGCAGCGGGGGGAGCAGCAGCTGCAGGTGGCGAAGCTGCCGCCGCCGCCGCCGCTGCCGCTGCACCCGCGCCCTTGCGAGCCCCCAAGGTAATGGGTAGGCAGGGTATCGACCCACGGTGTTTGGGGCTGGGCTGGGGCTGTGCATCCCTTCCTCCGCGAGTTGTGTTGGTAGGGTGAACCGGCGGGGCTTCCTTCCACCTATCTAGGCGCCCCATCTGGAAGGACAAAGCGAGGTTGTTGGGGTTTCGGCATCGCTGCATGGGCGGCATGGGTGGTTGGCAGAACCGGGATGGACCTGCGGGGTCCACAGCAGGGCTGCCGCAGGATGCGGACCTCACATGGGCCTCAACCGCCGCGGCCGGCACCCCTGCCCCACCCCCACCCCACTCTCTTTCCTACACCCACCGCCCCACCCCTACCTCTCACCACCTTCAGTGTTTCCGCGGCTCAGTGTATCTAACCGCGCCCCCCCCCACGCAACCCCCCTCACCTCCCCCCCCAGGCCCTGGCGGATGTGGTGGAGGCGCTGGTGGGAGCCGTGTACCTGGACTGCCGGCCCGACCTGGGGCCCGTGGAGCGGGCGGTGGCAGCACTGCTGCTGCAGTAGCCGGCAGGGGGGGTGGGGCGGGGTGGGGGGCAGCTGCTGGAGCAGCCGTAGCAGCTGCTGGAGCAGCTGAAACAGCTACAATGGCGAAGTTTGCGTTCGGTGGCGTTGACCGACGTTATCTGCGTTGCTGCTGTTGTTGTTGTTGTTGTTGTTGTGTTGTCGGCATTGTTGTAGCAGTGGGCTTAGACGCACGCACATCCAGTAAGAATCGTGCAGTTAGGGGACTGGGCAAGGGAGTTAGCAGGTGTTAAGCAACGTGTCTGGGAGCGAAGATGTGTCCTGCTGTGGGCTTATTCGTACCTCTCCTGGAGCAATTTGGAGCAATTGCCAGCAAACACGCATCCATTGGCATCTGTACCGGTATCATGCCTGCACGGAAGCATGCAGGTCCGGGACCGGCTGCACGCCACAACAGCCAAGGCTAGCGGTCTCGGAGGCATGTGCTGGATGGGTGTGAGTTGGGGGTGTAGACGCACGTATGGACCTCCCATGTAATGGCTTGTCCTGACTTAAGGATAGGTTGCATGGCAGTTGTAAATGGCTGTAGAGCCTTGTGGTGTAGCGATTGTGGTGTAATCCCACTCCGCCCGCAAAGGCGAGCCTGGAGTGCTGGACAGCGGTGTATGATAACGCGCGAGTGCAGCAGAGGAAGGAATTACGTTAAGGCTTTGGCTACCGCTTAGACATGGTACAGTAGGATGGTGCCACAGGCGTTGTGTAAGTAATTACAAGCGCATCAAGGGGCTCAACAATGCGAGAGCATCGATCGGTGAAGGTCGAAACTACTTTGACCAGCCATGGAAGCTGGCTAGGGTCTCGCTAGCTTCATGACGCGCGGCTTAATGAAATTCTTAATTGAATGTCCGTTCGAGCGAGAACTAGCTTGAATGTTGACGGCCAATCGTAAGGCCGAGATGGCCGTGAAATGCACGGTCGCAGTCGGCAACCGCCGTCAGTTGGGCGATGATCTCGGGCTTCTTAACCAGCCATGGGACTGCGCAAACGCTTAACACCGCGCACGCATGGTCCATTTTAGGTTCTAATTGCAATAATGCCGGTAGAATAGCAGCTTCGGCGGTAGGTCTTGGTTGCTTGGCCTTGCAATAGGCGCCCCTTGTGCGCCCATCTGGGACCTGGCCCTTCTTTGTTCGGCAGTACCGTATATACACAACGACAGAAATGAGTAACAAATTCACCACATCGCCGGCGGGGAGCGCATCGCCTCCCTTGCGCAACTACCAAGATGAAATGATCGAGCAATCGAGGAAGCGAGGCAATGCAATCGTATACATGGAAACAGGTAAGAAGGTTGCATGTACGCGGTCGCATTCTTGGCTTGCTTTGCATCGGCATGTGCAAGGCAAGTAGGCAACGTTTTTTACTTCCTGCTATTCGCATCCCGCACAATGGCGATGAGCATGCCATAATGCTATTTATGTGATTATTTACCGTTTTGCAATCAAAACCTGTCGAACACGGGGGAGCTGTGCTCGCATGTACGCATGTCCCGTTAGTTCCTTCGCGCTACTGCTCCAATTAAAAGCATACCAATCAACTCAGCGCTTTAACATACGCCAATGGATTACACCCGATCCCGCAGGCAGCGGTAAGACGCGGATCGCTGTGGAGCGCATCCTGGCAGCCCGAGCCGAGCTCTCGAGCTCCCGCCAGGAGAAATTCGCCGCCTTTCTGGCCCCCACAGTGCCGCTGGTGAAGCAGGTGAGGAAGCTCCATGGGAAAAGATTATGCCCTGCATGGACGATACCGGTTACTGGATGGCCCCTTATGACCATCCATACCGGTACCCATGATGTGTAAGGTTATCCCTGTCTGCGGCCTATCCTGCCAACCCAAAGTTGCGCTCTCCCTTCCAACCTATTTACCTAGTAATACCATTCCCGCTGCCTCGCCACCAGTGATGATAGGTTTCACGCCCCTTCCAGTCCAACCCATACACCTCACCCCCCCTAACTTTTGGTCTCCCCTGTGCATGGCCTGACATGGTCTTTCACTCCCCCCCAGCAAGCAGCTGTGCTGGCGGCTGCCGGTCTGCGTGTGGCCACCTTCACGGGGGAGGACAACCGCGAGGGTCGCAGCCGGGCAGCGTGGGGGCAGCTGCCGCGGCACGTAGATGTGCTGGTGTGCACACCCAACGCACTGAACAGCCTCCTGGCGCATGCATACCTGCGGGTGCGGGCGGGCGGGTGCGTGTGCGGGTGTGTTAAAATAACTGGCCGCGAGGCGAAACGTACTGTGATTGCCGAAAGATGAAGTGCGCGTGCGTGCGTGTGTGTTGGTGTGCGTGTGTTAGAGCGCATGTCGCATTACTGTGTTTTACCTGTGCTTCGTGCGTGTTTGCATATGGAGTCGGAAGGGTGCTCTGGTGAGAACTCAAGTGGCGCAGGGCGGCAACCGCTTCCTCAGCGCTTTCTCGCGCCGGTGCTGTTTGTGCGTGCCTGCACAATAACAGATAACGCGTTGTGCGTCTCATGCGTTGGCCGCATGACAACACAGCAGCATGCAGCTTCCCGCTCCGTTGCCCCTCCGCCTTCGCCCATCAAAGGTTTTTAAAGGCAGCTTGGGCGCAATAGCGCTTGATGGGAAAGGAACCCGCGCACGCCCACATGTGCTGCGCTGCGCTCAACTTTGCGCTGTCTGCACTGTATGTCTGCACTGTCCGCAACGTCATCAACGTCCGCACTGCTGTCCGCACAGATCCCCCAGTTGGGCCTGCTGGTGCTGGACGAGTGCCACCACTGCCGCGGCGACCACCCCTACGCGCTGCTGCTGGAGAAGCTGGTGTGGGGCCCATGCAGCATACCGTTCGGGCCGCGGCCCGCACTGCTGGGCCTGACCGCGTCACCCGACAAGGCTCGAAAACTGATGAGGATCATGCGGGCGGACATCATCTCACCCCGGGACACGTGCGTGCAGACAGGGGGGGGGGTAAAGAGGAAACAACTGACCGTACAGACAGGGGGGGGGGCGGAGGGCGGCGGTGGGGAGGGGCGTTCTGGTTGGTTAGGTGTATTATTGCTTGGGCCGTGGGATTAATGAAGCCGCAGGCAGCCGGCTGGAGCGTCATGTAGTGTGTGTGGGGGGGGGGCATGTGCAAGGGTTGATGCAAGCAGATGTGTGAGGCCTGCGAGCTAGCAGGGTACTGCGGGCTTGGTGACTTCAACAAGGAAGTTGCAAATTGCTGCACTACGGCCCCACACGCAAGCGACATTCACACTGCTGCCTGCCCCCTTCCCCCACACCCTCGCTCTACACCTTTCCATGGCTGCTCGTCCCTCCTTTGCTGTGTGATGTATGCCTTAACAGCAAAGCCATGGAGCCGTACATCGCCCGCCCGGAAACCTCCTTCGAGTACGTGCACAGCAGCGGCTCCGTCACCGGCGTGGCAGCAGGTGCCAGCGGTGCTGTTGCTGTGCAGACGGCGATTGACTGCCTGGAAGCCGCCATAGACACCTTGACGAAGGCGGCGGAGTTCACACGCACTCGGGACATCGTGATGCGACGTGCGGAATTCCTGCTGCGGGGGGAGCAGGACCCCCAGGAGCTCCTCAAGCTCGAGGCTTATGCCAACGCCGATGGCGATGCGGCCGATGATGATGACGGAGTCAGCAGCAGTAACACCAGCGGAGGCGGTCCTGGGACCAAGGAGCTGGAACACCTGCAGGCGCAGCTCACGGCTGTTCGGGACACACTGGTGGATCTGGGGCTGTGGCCTGCTGTGGCGGTGGCGTGTCACGACCTGTTTGGTCGGACTGCTTCGGGGCTGCCGCCTGCGGTGCTGCAGAAGCTGCAGCGGGCAGCTGGGCTGGTTGGGGAGGAGGAGGAGGAGGAGGAGGAGGAGGAGATGGAGGAGGGCATGGATGGCGGGGAGGAATCGGACTTGGAAGAGGATGGGGATGAGGAAGAGGAAGAGGACGATGATGGTGAGGGCATGTTGCTGCTGACGTCAGAGTATCGAATGAATGCTCTGATGGAGGAGGGCGGCCTGGGGGGAGATGACGACAAGCCCCTGGGTGCCAAGAGGTGGGTGGTGGGTGGGTGGGTGGGTGGGTGGGTGGTGGGTGGGTGGGTGTCAAACAGCACACAACTGGTCCCCTATGGGGGTGAAATGGGGTACGTGTCAAAGACAGCAGGCCTGCATTCCATGCAAGTCATTCTGCCACTGCTCTGAGCTCCGTCTCCTACTCCTACTTGCATACAACCATACGGCAGCACTGCTAAGCACACGTTAGCGTGTCCCACCAGCAGTCCCACCACCCGCCTGCATGCGTGCCCCACCTCATCGCCCCTGCTGCTGCTGCTGCTGCTGCAGTGTGGAGGACGCTCGGCGGCAGGCGGAGGATGCACTGCAGGGCCTCC